GCAAGAGTTCCAACCCTGGTCTCCAGAGCCTTTGGGTGCATCTACACTGCAGAAAGAATGAGGGAATGCTTCTGTAACATGGCCATACAGCCCGGAAAACTCACAGCAACCCAGTGATTCCGATCATGAAAGCCTCCGACAACACAATGCAGTTTGACACCACTCTGACTGCCATGAAATCATAGGAGATGCAGTTCTGCAAAGTCTTTAGTCTACTCTCTGTCCACGGAGTGCTGCCAAAGAGCCTCCCCAGAACAACAGAGCGTCCAAAGTTATGTCCACGGAGTGAGATCTCATTACAATTAGTGGATCTGTTAAAGTGCTGGACATTTTCATCACGCCCTTCTCTTAATAATACCGTAATTATTCAGACAATGACTATGTATATGTGCGGTTAGTTCCGATTCAGAGTGAGATATTCTGCTGTTGAGCAAAATGATTGGACTTAAACGCACTAAAAAGGATAATAATAATAATAATAATAATAATAATAATAATAATAATAATAATAATATATTGTCGAAGGCTTTCATGGCCGGAATCACTAGGTTGTTGTAAGTTTTTCGGGCTGTATGGCCATGTTCCAGAAGCATTCTCTCCTGACGTTTCGCCTGCATCTATGGTAGGCATCCTCAGAGGTTATGAGGTCTGTTAGAATCTAGAAAAAATGGGTTTATATCTCTGTGCAATGTCTAAGGTGGCCAACTGCTACATTCACACCTACATCCAACAGGCAAGAGTTCTTTCTCCCACCCTGGATATTCCAAGATTAAGGGTCCTTCCACACAGCCATTTAACCCAGAATATCAAAGCAGAAAATCCCACAATATCTGCTTAGAACTGGGTTATCTGAGTCCATATATTCCAGTTCAAAGCAGAAATTGTGGGGTTTTATTCAGCTGTGTGGAAGGGGCCATAGAAACCCATTTTTCCTAGTTTCCAACAGACCTCACAACCTCTGAGGATACCTGCCATAGATGCAGGCGAAACGTCAGGAGAGAATGCTTCTGGAACATGACCATACAGCCCGAAAAACATACAACAACTCAATAATAATAACAACAACAACAATGAGATTTAAATATGAGGATTTTAAGATCGAACTGCAAAGACTGACACAAGCCAATCAAGGTGGGTCCCAGTGGTAATCAGCACACTGGGTCTAGTGCCTAAAGACCTTGACCTGCACTTAAAAACAATCGGCACTGACAAAATTACTATCTGTCAGCTGCAAAAGGCCACCCTACTCGGATCTGCAGCATACATCACACAGTCCTAGACACTTGGGAAGCATCCGTGTGATCAAATACAAAAGCCAGCATAGTGATCTTGTTTGCTGTGTACTAATCTTGTTATGTATCAAATAATAATAATAATAATAATAATAAAACAACAACAACAACAACAACAGTCCTAGACACTTGGGAAGTGTCCGATTTGTGATCCAATACAACAGCCAGCAGAGTAATCTTGTTTGCTGTGTACTAATCTTGCTATGTATCTAATAATAATAATAATAATAATAGCAAAATTACAGTTATGAAGTAGCAACAAAAATAATGTATTGTCAAAGGCTTTCATGGCGGGAATCACTGGGTTGTTGTAGGTTTTTCCGGGCTATATGGCCATGTTCTAGAGGCATTTTCTCCTGACGTTTCGCCTGCATCTACGGCAAGCATCCTCAGAGGTAGTGAGGTCTGTTGGAAGTAGGAAAATGGGTTTATATATCTGTGGAATGACCAGGGTGGGACAAAGGACTTTTGTCTGCTGGAGCTAGGTGTGAATGTTTCAACCCATTTTCCTACTTCCAACAGACCTCACTACCTCTGAGGATGCTTGCCATAGATGCAGGCGAAACGTCAGGAGAAAATGCCTCTAGAACATGGCCATATAGCCCGGAAAACCTACAACAACCCATAATAATAATAATAATAATAATAATAATAATAATAATAATAATTATTATTATTATTATTATTTATAGGCTGTTCTATCTCCCCAGTGGACTCAGGGCAGCTCCATGCTTCTTTGACCGGATCTAGATCCATAAAATGCCCTTCAATGCAGTTCAACCTACAATCCAGTTCAATGCGGTTCAACTGTATTTTGAAACTGCATTATGTGGCCGTGTAGATGGGACTCCAGCCTTTGATGAGCAAGCGGCACATTTTCGTGGTAAAGGTAGTAGCAGGTTTCCTTCAATTCCATTAAAAATCACGTTGCAGTCTGGCCTCCCATATGTAAACAGAGAGTTACGATAAAAGACAATCCGATTGACTACTTCGACATTCATCGTTTTTGCATATACCATCCCCGTCTTAAACAGGCTACTTAGAAGACCCTCTTAAATTCAGTAGGATTTATCGGACGGATTTTTAAGGATCAAGTGGAGATGAGAAACATTCACGTCTCCGCATTTCCCAAGAGAAAAAAAATGGCCATCTTTTCTGTCCTGCTTGCAGAAAGGTAAACAATAAGGCAACTCCCACCAGAGGTTATATTATTCTCTTCCATTGATTTAATAGGAACGAGCCACTCCTCGTGCTGACATCGAAGACGCCAGGTATTATTATTGTTATATTATTTATTTAACAGAGAAGAGTTCTCGCGTTTCACTGACATCTAAGAGATTTAAAAATACATTTTCTTGATACTGTTTCCCCTCCTAAGACTCCTTTCACATAGCTGAATAAAATCCCTTATTATCGGCTTTGAACTGAAATATATGGCAGTGTGCACTCTGATATTCAAAGCAGATATTGTGAGGTTTTCTGCCTTAATATTCTGGGTTATATGATTGTGTGGAAACGCACTCAGTTAACACTTTCAAGTCAATAGCGAGGGCCTTTTCACTAAGAATTGGGGTGGATGGGGTTGGGTTTTGAGTTTGAGATAGTGTAATTTACCTAAAGTTTCCCAATAGTTTTCTATGGCTGCATGAAGATTTGAAACCCTGACTTAAATGTCACGGTTTACTCATTATTATTAGTTGTGTTATTGTGTTGTCGGAAGTTGCTATGCTATTCAATGCTAACCAAGCTGCCCAATTGCAACATTTACACTTGCCTCAAACAGACAAGAGTTCTTTCTCCCACTCTGGGCATTCCACAGATATGTATAAACCCCACTTGCCTAGTTTCTAACAGACCTCACAACCTCTGAGGATGGCTGCCATAGATGAGGGTGAAACGCCAGGACAGAATGCTTCTGCAACATGGCCACACAGCCCAGAAAATTCACAGCAACCCGTTTGTGTTATTGTTTTATCGATTTAATTGGGAAACTGTTTATGTGAGCTTTGAAAGAAAATGTTGCCATACATTAATTATAGAATTAGTAATTTAAGGGTATAACTAGGCATATAGGAGAAGGAGAGACAATTAAGGCTGGATCCACACTACCATACTGTCCAGATTATTTTATCAAAGCAAATAATTCGCATTATCTGCTTTGAATTGGATTATATGAGGCTGTGGCCTCATCCACACTGCCATATAGTATACATTTGAACTGGGTTCTATGGCAATGTAGAATAATATAATCCAGTTCAAAACAGATAGTCTGGATTTTATACGGCAATGTAGATGGGGCCTGTATCTATATTCTATACCACAGGATCTGATCCCAGATTATCTAATTATCCCAGTTTATCTCACAGTGTAGACCAGGCAGGGGCAAACTGGGGCCCTCCAGGTGTTTTGGACTTCAACTCCCACAATTCCTAACAGCCTACCGGCTGGGCTGTTTTAAGTTTTCCGACTATATGTCCAGATCATCTGTTTTGAACTGGATTATATTAGTCTACACTGCCTTGGAGCCCAGTCCAAAGCAGATAAACTGGATATTATATAGCAGTGTAGATGGGGCCACAGCCTCATATCATCCAGTGCAAAGCAGGCAATGAGGATAATTTGCTTTGACATTTACACTTGCCTCAAACAGACAAGAGTTCCTGGATTGTATGGCCGTGTAGATCCAGCCTTAGTTCTCCCTCCTTCTCCCTTATGTCTAACTGCATTATACCTTTAAATTACTAATACTATAATTAATTATTGCATGTATGGCAAAATTTTCTTTTAAAGCCCACACATACAGCTTCCCAATTAAATCCATAAAATAATAACACAACTGGGTTGCTGTGAGTTTTTCAGACTGTATAGCCATGTTCCAGAAGCATTCCCTCCTGACGTTTCACCTGCATCTATGGCAGGCTTCCTCAGAGGTTGTGAGGTCTGTTGGAAACTAGGAAAATGGGGTTTATATATCTGTGGAATGTCCAGGGTGAGAGAAAGAACTCTTGTCTGTTGGAGGTAGGTGTGAAAGTTTCAATTGGCCACCTTGATTAGCATTTGATGGCCTAGCAGTTTCAAAGTGTGGCTTCTTACTGTTTACCAGCTGTTAGGGATTGTGGGAGTTGAAGTCCAAAACACTTGGAGGGCCCAAGTTTGCCCGTGCCTGGTGATTGGATGATGAGATTGGACCTTGATTTTAACTTGGAGACGTTAATGGTCTATGTTTTATTGACCTTATTATAATTGTATATTTATGTTAATGTTTTAAATGTTTTGTGATGTTGCTGGGCATTGAATTTTGCCTCTGTAATAAACCGCCTTGAGTGGTCCGTGGGCTGAGAAAGGCGGTATACAAAAATAGTAAATAAAGAAATAAAGAAATAAATAGACTCATACAATCCAGTTCAAAGCAGATAATCTGAATTCAGATCCTGGGATACAGGGCAGTGTAGATCCAGCTTGGGATCTAATCCAGTTCGAAGCAGCTAATCTGGATTGTATATGGCAATGTAGCTCCATCCTAGAAGGGCATTTTGCATCTCCATCAGCTGCATTCCAGAGGAGGCTTGGTTTACTTCTCCCTTCTCTCCCTCGGCCACGCCTACTCCGCCTTGATTGGGCGCTCCCTCGTCCAATCCACGTTGGGAAGAAGTTTGTCCGGGGAGAGGGAGGGGGGATTGAGTTTGGAACGTTCCTTCCGCCGCAGGGCTGAGTGACTAAACGGGCGGGTCCACTTTGGTCCCTCCCCTTTCTCCTTCCCGAGAAGTGAGAGCGAGAGGCGCCTCTGCCGCTTGGCTGTGTTTGCTTGTTGTTATTTGGTTTGACGCGCCCGGCCGCCCGGGCTTCGTTCTGGCCATGCCACGGCGTTGAGCTCTTCAACTTCGGGTTGACTTTCCAGGATGTACACGGCAGGGCTGGCTCCCTTCTACGCCTCCAACTTGAGCTTGTGGTCCGCGGCGGCGTATTGCAGCCCCGGTGGGTCGGGCGGCTGCTTCCCTTTGGAGCCGTCGGGGCTCAAGAAGCCGTCCTTCTGCATCGCGGACATCCTGCACGCCGCGGCCGGAGGGGAAGCCTCGGGGCTGGAGGGGCTCCCGCTGGGCGCCGCCGTCCACGCGCATGCGCACTTCCACGCCACCGCCGCCGCCTCTTCTCCGCTCAGGCCCACGCCGCTCGTGGCCCCGGAGCCCGCTTTCCAGGCCCGGCTCTCGCCCCTTTCGGCGCCTTTCCCGCCTCCTCCTCCTCCTCCTCTTCCAGGAAGGGGCCAAGCGCCCGCCCTGGCCCCTTCCAGCAAGGACTTGAAGTTTGGCATTGACCGCATCTTGTCCGCCGAGTTTGACCCCAAGCTCAAGGAAAGCAACACGCTCAGAGGTATTTTTCGACTTCATGTTGTATTAAATTAAGTCAAAATGATTTTTCTTTATTATTATTTTGATAAAACTTAAATCTAAGGGTTTGATTTATTTATTTTTATTAAATGGAGTTCAACAAACTATTGATATGTGTATATTAATAATATTAAAATTAATTTGTAATAGCCGCAGACACTCGGGCTTTTTTCTCCCCTTATTACTTTAAATTTTAATTATTTAATTCAGTAGCATTTATTTCTGCCAACCTAGCAGTTCGAAAACATGCAAATATGAGTAGATCAATGGGGACCACTCAAGGTAACGGCGCTCCATTTAGCCATGCCGGCCATATGACTTTGGAGGCGTCTGCAGACAGCGCCGGCTCTTCGGCTCAGAAATAGAGATGAGCATCAACCCCCAGAGTCAGACACAGCTAGACTTAATGTCAGGGGAAAACCTAAAACCTTTACCTTTAACCTGCCTATGTACTAATATAATTGCGTTCATGGGTATCGTTTATTGATTTTCAGTCCCATCTTCCATTTATTTTTTTAAAAAGCAACTTCAATCCAACGACATGTAAATTAAAATAACAACAATACAGACAGGGATAAACATGTGTAGGGTGTATATGTGTGTGTATAGGTCTGAAGAGATATAGTGTGTGTGTGTGTGTGTGTATATAGAGTGTATGTGTAGGTCCTCACAACCTCTGAGGATGCTTGCCATAGATGCAGGCGAAACGTCAGGAGAGAATGCCTCTAGACCATGGCCATATAGCCCGAAAAAACCTACAACAACCCAAGAATACAGACAGTCGATCGCACTGCTTTCCCTTTAATTGATATGACATTACGTTTAAAAGTTATGTATTAATAGTTGTATTTAGGACATTAATTATTTATTAATTTAAATAAATAATTTAATATTATTATTCAGTAATTTTAATTGCATCTTCCCAAAATGTAATTTAAATCCAGTTGAAAATCATCATCATCATAATAGATAACAGACACTAGATTAATAATAATAATAATAATAATAATAATAATAATAGATAACAGACACTAGGCCACACAGGTTTTTCTATTTCTTTTTTTAACTTAATTTCTAGTAAATTAAGCAAAAATGAATTTTTGTTTCATCGTATACCTATTGATAATAATAATAGCAATAATAGTAAAAATATTAGACTACACTGGCTTTAAACCCCACCCGGGTTTAAAGCCACCTGCGCCGCAAAGGGTTGGGATGTGTGTTTGTGGGTGCATCTACTACACTGGAATTAACGCACTTTGATACCACTTGGATTGCCGTGGGTTCCATGCTGTGGGATCCTGGCAGTTGTTTAGTGAGGCATCCGAGCTGAATTTAAGGTAGAGTTACTGCCTGCCATGTGTGTATGTGTGTACATACACACAGTCTCGCCTTAATCATTTTAATGGGGTGACTTTGGAAAGGGATAAACATGTATAGGGTGTATATGTGTGTGTATAGGTCTGAAGAGATAAACATATATAGGGTGTGTATATGTGTGTGTGTGTATATATATATATATAGAGAGAGAGAGAGAGAGAGAGTGTATATATATATATAGAGAGAGAGAGGGGGGGGAGAGAGAGTAGGTCTGAAGCCTTTACTTGGGTGCCTGATCTGGACCCACAGATTAAATCCATATGCATGTATGTATGTATATATACGTGCGCACATATATATACAAACATATACACACATATCGGTTTAATCTGTGGGTCCAGATCAGGCACCCAAGTAAAGGCTTCAGACCACAGTTCCATATCTGTAAAGACCCCCAATTCCCACGGTGGAGATCCACTCAACACACTCATGGAAGACCACGGGTGTGTCTCTACTGTAGATCTGACGCAGTTTGACACCACTTTTAACTGCCATGGCTCCCTGTTATAGAATCACGGGAGTTGTGGTTTTACACCGTCTTTAGCCTTCTCTGCCCGCTGCGGGGTTCCTTTCTCCAGTGTAGATGCATCTTCTCCTTGAAACAGAAACCTTCCGGACGGCTTCTGGGATTGCTCTTGTCTCAGAGCGTGGGACATTTGGGACTACACCTCCCAGGATCCGCAAACTGCGGAAGGGAATGGATTCTGTGTTGCGTCGACCCAAAAAGTAACTTCTTTGAGGTTTTATTGGTCCAAGTATGACTCCCAAATGGAGAGAGAGAGAACGAACTGAATGCAAAAAAAGTCCGGAAGATCCGTATGGTTTCTTTTCCTCTTCTGACAGGGCAGGTCCCAATTGCAAGGCTTTGGAGGACTGAAAGGAGAAGAGATAGTATTGCTAGGTTGCCCCATAGCTTTTTATTGGTGCCACAGTTCTGTAATCCCTCTGAAATGTCTCCTTATTCTCTATAATAGGCCGGCAGGTCAGTCAGGGGTGAGGAGGAAACCAAAAAGGCCCTCTCACTCACCATAGAGCAGCCAGAGTTGTGTCCACACTGGAGAATATACGCAGTTCGGCATCGCTTTAACCCCAAACGGTGTTAAACGTTTCCATTAATTAGAGGAACCCAGCCCGGTGGCACAGTGGGTTAAAGCACTGAGCTGCTCATCTTGTTGACCTAAAGGCCGCAGGTCCGAATCCAGGGAGCAGCGTGAGTTCCCGCTGTCAGCCCCAGCTTCTGCCAACCTAGCAGTTCAAAAACATGCAAATGTGAGTAGATCAATAGGTACCGCTCTGGCGGGAAGATAACGGCGTTCCATGCAGTCATGCCGGCCACATGACCTTGGAGGTGTCTACGGTTTAGAAATGGAGATGAGCACCAACCCTCAGAGTCGGACACGACTGGACTTCATGTCAGGGGAAAACCTTTACCTTTACCTAATTCAAATTAGTTTTGCTTCTTGAATGCTGAGAGTGGTCCTTCCTCATATATTAATCAATCGATCGATCGATCAATCAATAAAAAAAACTCGCTGTGACCAGAATGTTACCATAATATTTTATACTAAGACCTATGGGTTCGTTAGTAGTTCTCATGGCTTGGTTCACAATCCCAGGGCATAAAATCCTCAACAGGCTTGGGACATACATTGGGGCGAATTGTAACTTCAGTGGATTCTTAGCCGAAGGGCAAAGAATAGAAACGAGTTCCTAAACCGCTCCAACGAGGAGTAGTTTCCTGTCACTTCGAGGGTTAACAGATTAATACTGGCATCAGTTTTCTTCTTGGGCTGCAAGGAAATGTTGCAATCCAAGGGTAGGAAAAAAAAGCTTATGCCATCACAAATGGGTATTTCCGCTGCCGCACGCACATCACGAGTTGCTATATTGTATCCTATATAATCCTATATTGTAGGATTAGCACAGTTTGAGACCGCTTTCACTGCCAGGGCTCGTGGGAGCTTTAATTTCGGGAGGCGCCCCCATTCTTTGGAAGAGAAGGCCTGTAAAACTACAGTTTCGGTACTGGACTATGAGAAAGAGGCCCCATCTACACTGCATTATAATCCGGTTTCTGAATCCGGATTTTATGGCAGTGTAGACGCCTCCAGTTCAAAGCAGATAATCTGGATTCAGAAACTTACAGCATTGTAGATCCAGCCTTAAAGTGGTGTCAAATAGTACTAATAATTATATAATGTAGATCAGTCCTGGGCAAACTTAGTCTCTCTAGGTGATTTGGACTTCAACTCCCACCATTCCTGACAGCCTGTGGCCCTTTCCTTTTCCCCCTCAGCCGCTTAAGCGGCTGAGGGGGAAAAGGAAGGGGCCTGAGGCTGTCAGGAATGGTGGGAGTTGAAGTCCAAAACACTTAGAGGAACTAAGTTTGCCCAGGCTTGATGCAGATTCAATCTTAGTTAACATAAACATAAAGCCTTGTTTCTCCCTCTGCTCCCAAACCAATGTTAGTCTGTCAATAAGTACTTCCAAACCTTTCCTGCTTTCCTTCTCTGCCCGTCGCCAATCTCGAGACTTTTCCTGGAAAGGGAGGGAATCGTTTAGAGTAGGCCTTTCGGGTCCTTCTTTTAGAAAGTCAAGATTTCTCAAACTATTCCAGAAACTCCCTCAGGTTTTTTCCCAGGACCGAGTTAGGGATCTAGGTAGCATTCCCCCAACATTTAAGAAGTTTTATAGTTTTTCCTCCAGTTCTTATATTCCCAGGATGACATATTGTCAGTGCTTCCCTTCCACACAGCTGTCTAAAATCCCAGATTGTCTGTTTTGAATTGGAATATACGGCAGTGTGGACTCAGATATTCAAAGCAGATATTGTGGGATTTTTATTCCTTTGTATTCTGGGTTATATGGCTGTGTAGAAAGCCCCCCCCCCCTCCCCCCAAGGTAGAACTCTGCCATTGTTCATCCCTTTGCTTTGGGTGCCTGAAGTCCATTCCTAAAGAAGGTGAAATTGACTTTTCTTGTGAGCTGTCACATTGAGGACGATTTAGGGCAAATTAATGCAGTTCAACACCACTTGAACTATTGCCCTTCCACGCAGTCCTATATCCCAGAATATCAAGGCAGGAAATCCCACAATATCTGAGTATGGACTCAGGACTTACTTACTTTACTTACTCAGATAACCCAATTCAAAGCATATATTGTGGGATTTTCTGCCTTGATATTATGGGATATAGAGCTGTGTGGAAGGGCCCTGAGATGGCTCAATGCTAGGGAATTGCGGGAGTTTTACAAATGGTCCTTCCACACAGCCATATAACCCAGAATATCAAGGTAGAAAATCCCACATTATCTCCTTTGTATTCGAATAAAACACAGTGTGGACTCAGATAATCCAATTACAACAATCCAGATATTGTGTGATTTTCTGCCTTAATATTCTGGGATATAGGGCTGTGTGGAAGGTCTTTAGCCTTCCCTGCCAAAGGCCCCTTCCGCACAGCCCTATATCCCAGAATGCTCCAGGGCCGCCGGTAACCCGCTCTCCTTGTTCGTGTCGCCCGCAGATCTGACCTCCTTACTAAGCTCCAGCCGCCCAAGCGGGCTCCACCACGGGCCCCCCGCCTTACCGCCTCCGGCCGGCCAGTTCTTCGCCTCCTTAGAGCCCATAAGCGAGACCACTTCCGGAATCTTGGGCCCCTTAAACGCCACCCCAAGGAGTTCAGTTCCGCACCAGTTTCAGGACACTTTTCCAGGTACAGCCCCGCTTCCGCGCTCTCTCTCTCTCTCTCTCTCTCTCTCTCGCTCGTTCTTTCCTTCCTTCCTTCCTTCCTTCCTTCCTTCCTTCCTTCCTTCCTTCCTTCCTTCCTTCCTTCCTTCCTTCCTTCGTTCTTTCTTTCTTTCTTTCTTTCGTTCGTTGCTTCCTTCTTTCCTTCTTTCTTTCTTTCCTTCCTTCCTTCTTTCTTTCCTACTTTCTTTCTTTCCTTCTTACCTTCCTTCTTTCCTTCTTCTTTCATTCTTTCCTTCATTCTTTCTTTCCTTCTTTCCCTCCCTCCTTCTTTCTTCTTTTTTCTTTCTTTCTTTTCCCTTTTTTCCTTCCCCTTCTTTTCTTTCCCCCCCCCCCTTCTTTTCCTTCTTTCCTTCTCTCTTTCTCTCTTGAAAGAAAAGTCAGCATGGCTTGTTGTCCCCCCCTCCCCCCTTCTGCTCCCTGGAATTGAGGCAAAATAAGGCCATACCCCACTGTATTGCGACGATAATTAATTATATCAGGTTGGGTCAAAAAGTTTTGCCTCCTGAGTCATAAAAAAGTGCCCAACGAACATATAACAGCAGAAGTTGCTATAGATCATAGCCTGAACTATCCTCTAGGCCAGGGGTCTTCAAACTTTTTAAACAGAGGGCCTGGTCAGAGTCCCTCAAGCTGTTGGAGGGCCGGACTATAATTTGAAGGGGAAAAAATGAATGAATTCCTATGCACAGTGCTCATATCTTATTTGTAGTGCAAAAAAAAATTGCTTAAAATACAATAATTAAAATGAAGAGCAATTTTAACAAATACAATCTTATTCGTATTTTAATGGGAAGTGTGGGCCTGCTTTTCCTGATGGGATAGGATTGCTGTTGTTGTGTGCTTTCAAGATTTAGGTTGACCCTAAGCGAGGGAGGGCCATATCCAGCCCTTGGGCCTTAGTTTGAGGACCCCTGCTCTAGGCAAAACCACAGTTCAATTCAAATCATTGAATCTGAAACCACATAGGGTTGTCTTTCAGAGGTCCAAACAGGTCAAAGTCAAAAAGGTCCAAATCAGGGCTGAGAGGTGGGTGAGAGGCACCACTGACCTGCCCATTTTTGCAATCGCCTGGGTGGAGGGTGTGCATTGTCTTGATGAAGCTTGAAGGAACAAACGTCTTTTAGTGGTCTCTTCTTTCTTCTTACCTCCTTAAGTTTCTTAAGTGTGGTTAACCCACTTAGCACACACTTTGTGATATTCCAAGTCAGCAATGATTCCTTGGGCAGAGCCATACGAGATGGGTTGTTGTGAGTTTTCTGGGCTGTATGGCCATGTTCCAGAAACATTCTCTCCTGAAGTTTTGCAGAAAAAGTTGTAACAACCTAGCCTGTAGGCTGTTAGGAATTGTGGGAATTGAAGTCCAAAACACCCATAACTGGTCTACACTGTCAAAATAATCTGGGCTAATTAGATAATCTGGGATCAGATCCTGGGGTATAGGGCAGTGTAAATACAGGCCCCATCCAGACTGCCATATAAAATCCAGGTTATCTGTTTTGAACTGGATTATATTAGTCTACACTGCCATAGAACCCAGTTCAAAGCAGATAATGTGTATAGTATACGGCAGTGTAGATAGGTCCATAGCTTCATATCATCCAATTCAAAGCAGATAATATGGATTATATGCTTTGATAAAATAATTTGGATTGTATGGCTGTGTGGATCCAGCCTTAATTCCCCCTCCTTCTCCCCCATGCCTAATTATGCCCTTAAATTACTAATGCTATAATTAATTATTGCATGTATGGCAACATTGTCCCTTATGCCTAACTGCATTATTCCCTTCAGTTATTAATATTATAATTAATTATTGCATATATGGCTACATTTTCTTTTAAATTCCACACCTACAGCTTTCCAATTAAATCAATAAAATAATAACACAACCAGGTTGCTGTGAGTTTTCCGGGCTGTATGGCCATGTTCCAGAAGCATTCTCTCCTGAAGTTTCACCTGTATCTATGGCAGGCATCCTCAGAAGTTGTGAGGTCTGTTGGAAACTAGGAAAATTGGGTTTATATATCTCTGGAATGTCCAGGGTGTGTGTATGTATATGTGTGTGCATGTTTATATGTGTATGTGTATACACACACACATACACACCCCATTTTCCTAGTTTCCAACAGACCTCATAACCTCCGAGGATGCCTGCCATAAATGCAGGAGAGAATGCTTCTGGAACATGGCCATACAGCCCGGAAAACTCACAAACAATCCAGTGATTCCACATGAAAGCCTTCGACAACGCCTTAGGAGATGTTCAATGCATCAACTACATACAAACTTCTTCACCCAAGGCCACCACGCATTGCTGATGTCCATTACAGCGTCCCCATAAACATTCTCCAAGTGATTATGAATTTCCTTAGGTACACAACCTATTTTTGCCAGAAATTCAATGACGACTCTTTCTTTTAGTTTCAGATTCATGGTTTAATCAGTCCGTCCGAAAAAGAAAAGGCTACATTAGAAGAGTAAGGTTACCTCTATCATATCATGCATAGATAGTCCAGTAGCTGTGAAAGAAATAAAACTTAGAGGGATGGAGGTATTACTTTTTGAGCCACCCGCCATATAATTGGGAGCTAAAGTTTAGGCTTAGCAGAGCCCTTTAAAAGGTAACCTTAACTTCACACCAGAAGCGGATTGCAGTTTCTCAAGCTCGATTAAAAAAAACAACAACTTCTCACCCTAAATTAAACCCACAAAACCCCAGAAAGATTGCCTTCAGAGGGAATATGTGTTCAGGATGAAAACCTTGCTGTGGCATTTCTTTTGTCAGAAGCCTACACATTTTGTTCTTTCTGTGCATTTCTCTATGTAGAGGTACTTAATTATATCTGTCAGTCCGAGCCTGGATCTACACCGCCATATAATCCGGATTATCAAAGCAGATAATCCATAATAACAACAACAACAACAACAACAACTTTATTTATATCCCGCCACCATCTCCCAAAAGGAGCTGGATGGCTGCTTTGAACTGGATTATATGAGTCAACTCCAGTTCAAAGCAGATAATCTGGATTTTATCTGGCAGTCTAGACCCAGCCTGAAACACAAACATGCAGCCCTGTAAATGAGGATTGGACCCTTAGAGGGTTTCCTATCAAACTTGAAGGGCGCATGTAATGACTGCAGTTTGACACCACTATGGGCCCTTCCACGCAGCCATATAACCCGGAATATCAAAGCAGAAAATCCCACAATATCTGCTTTGAACTGGATTATCTGAGTTCACACTGCCATATATTACAGTTCAAAGCAGATCATGTGGGATTTTATTTAGTTGTGTGGAGGGGGCTTATAACTGCCATGTCAGTCTGCTATAAAATCTTGGGATTTGTAGTTTGGCCGGTGGCGCAGTGGGTTTGAATCCGGGTGCCGGCGGGAAGGTAACGGCACTCTATGCAGTCATGTCGGCCACATGACCTTGGAGGTGTCTACGAACAACACCAGCTATTTATCTTAGAAATGGGGATGAGCACCAACCCCCAGAGTCCAACACGACTGGACTTAATGTCAGGGGAAAACCTTTACTTTACCTAGTTTGGCGGGGCACCAGCACTCATTGGCAGGGGAGGCCTTGTAAATCTACAACTCTCGGGATTTTGTAGCATTTAAACGTGGCCGTAGAAGTAGCATTTGTTTCGCAAAGGCGAAATACATTGTTTGGGCGCCTCCTGAGCGAATCTATCGATTTATTATTAGAATCCGGATCCTCCAGACTCATCAGCTCCTGGGACTGGGAGGCCTCTTGGGTTTCACCAAGCCAAGGCATTGAGTTCTGCCTCTTTTCTTTGTCTTCCTTCCTTCCTTTCCCTTTCCCGTGGAAACCCCTTCCTAGGTCCCTATGCGGTGCTCACCAAAGACACGCTGCCTCAGACCTACAAACGTAAACGCTCCTGGTCCCGGGCGGTTTTTTCCAACCTCCAAAGGAAAGGGCTGGAGAAACGCTTCGAAATCCAGAAATATGTCACCAAACCGGACAGGAAGCAGCTGGCCGCCATGCTAGGACTCACCGATGCCCAAGTAAGCCTTCCTTTTGTCCACAAGTGGATCAAGACCCCTTGGTTTAAATAGACATGCTATGTTTAAAATTCATTTTTACTGCTGGTCTCACTATTGTTTCCTTCAATTGGGTTTCCTACCAAGCTTTTCCAGAGATAGATTTCCTCTCAGGTTGAGAGAGAGGGTTTCCATGATACAGCAGGGATTTTAACCTTGATCTGGAGTGCATCTACACTATAAGAATTAACACAGTTTGACCTCGCTTTAATTGCCAAGGCACAATGCTATGGAATCCTGGGAAAATCCTAGTACTAGAACCCAAATCACTACACCACATTGGGAGTTATTATAACTCAGGCATGGGAAAACTTGGGCCCTTCAGGCGTTTTGGATTTTAACTCCCACAATTCGACTCCTGAACAGGGCCAGAGGCTGTTAGGGATTGTGGGAGTTGAAGTCCAAAACACCTGAAGGGCCCAAGTTTGCCCATGCTTGTGCTAGTGTCTCATCAAACTACAACTCCCATGATTCCAAGTTTGCCTGAGCCTATTATAACTGGTGTTCCATTTCTTTTGTTATTTGAAAGAAGCCTACTCTCCCTATATGGGAACCTTCCTAATACAATTCCTCATGTTGTGGTGACACCCCCAACCATACTTCATAACTGTAATTTTGCTACTGTTATGAAACCTAATGTAAATATCTAATAGGCAGGATGTATTTTTATTCACTGGACCACATTTGGCACAAATATCCTAGTGGGGTTGGGAGGAATTGATTTTGTTATTTGGGAGTTGTAGTTGCTGGGATTTATAGTTAACCTACAATCAAAGGGCATTCTGGACTCCACCAGGGGTGGAATTGAACCAAACTTGGCACACAGAACTCCCATGACCAACAGAAAATACTGGAAGGGTTTGGTGGGCTTTGGCCTTGAGTTGTGGAGTTGTCCTTCACCTACATCCAGAGAGTATTGTGAACTCAAACAATGATGGATCCAGGCTAAACTTTGCATGAATACTCAATATGCCCAAATGTGAAGACTGTTGGAGTTTGGGTAAATAGACCTTGACATTTGGGAGCTGTAGTTGCTGGGATGTTTAGTTCACCTACCATAAAAGAGCATTCTGAACCTCACCAAGGACAGATTTGGGCCAAACTTCCCATACAGAACCCCCATGACCAACAGAAAACACCGTTTTCTGATGGTCTGGCCGTATTTCTTTCCAACCATAAGTACTTTTTTCTTTAATTTCTTTGACATTATAGTGTGAATGTGAGACACAATAATACCTGCACCTAAAATACAAATTTTCCCTTCTGTTTATCCCTCACCACTTTCCTGTTTTCTCCCTGCTGCTACTGTAGCAAATACTTTAGGTAAGGAGGGCGTCACACACATCAAACTGTCTCCTTAAAATGGATTTTAGTTAATTATAGGTTTTCAAATAGATTCTGACTCATGGCGAACCTATCCTAGGGTGTTCTTGGCAAGTTGTATTCAGAGGAGAGAATGTGACTTGCCTAATGTTCCTTTCACACAGCTAAATTAAATCCCTTATTAGCTGCTTTGAACTGGAATATATGGCAGTGTGGGCTCAGATAATCCAGTTCAAAGCAGATATTGAGGGATTTTCTGTCTTGATATTCTGGGTTATATGACTGGAAGGGCACTAAAATGCCCAATGGAGCTTCTATGGCAGAATGAAGACATGGTTTTCTGCACTCCCAAGTCCTTGTCCAACACTGAAGCCTAGACACTATCCTGGTTCTACCAAAAATATTAAATATAAAAAAGAAGGGAGTGGGGGAAGGAAGGATGGGTGGAGAGAAAGGAAGAGAGCAAGAAAGGAAGAAAGTAAAAAAGGGAAAGAAAATCAGACTAAAGACCATCTAATAAAGTTGTCCCTAATATGCTACGCAAGCACAAGGGCCACATGCCTTCCTCCAACTCAAAGGCCCAGTAAACTCCATTAATTTGAACTCAGTTCAATAAGGTTCCTATTTAGAAAAAAACATGCCCCAGAATTCAAGTTTGACATTTTTCTTTCTTTCTTCTTTGGTAAAGTAAAGTATAGGTTGCCAAGGAATTTACAATCCACGACTGTTACTTAAGACTCAGCCTGATCCCATGCAGTGGTGTTTACCACAAAGTAAATAAACAAGGCAATAGAATAATGATGATGATGATGATGATGATGATGATGATGATGCTGGATTTCCAGCATAGAGATCTCCTTTGCTGTGACATACTGTGGTTTTGTGTCAGTAAAATAGTAATAATAATAATAATAATAATAATAATTTTAAAAGCCAGAATTGAAAAGTCAAGGACAGATCCCAAGTGTAGACTCTGCAAGGAAGCAGATTACACAATAGATTACATCCTCAGCTGCTGCAAGAAGATCATACAGACTATAAACAGAGGCATAATACAGTTGCTCATTGGAACCTATGCCACAAATACCATCTGCCTGTGACAAAGAATTGGTGGGATCACAAGCCTGAAAATGTTACAGAAAATGAACACATCAAACTACTCTGGGACTTCTGAATTCAGACTGACATGAGTTTTGGAGCACAATACGCCTGCTTGGATCTTTGATGTTACAATCCCAGGCAATAGCAGGATTGAAGAGAAACAACTGGAAAAGCTGACACTACATAAGGATTTAAAGATAGAACTGCAAAGACTCTGTCACAAGCCAGTAAAGATGGTCTCAGAGGTGATCGGCACACTGAGTGCAGTGTCTAAAGACCTTGGCCTGCATTTAAACACAATCCTGTGCTGACAAAATTACCGTCTGTCAGCTGCAAATGGCCACCCTACTGGGATCTGCACCTATTCCCGGATACATCACACAGTCCTAGACACTTGGGAAGTGTCCAGCCTATGATCCAATACAACAGCCAGCATAGTGACTTTGTTTGCTGTGTACTAATCTTGTTGTGTTTCAAAGAATAGTAATAGTAATAATAATAATAATAATAATAATAATAATAATAATAATAATAATAATATGAAGAAGAAGCCAGACACTTCCCAAGTGTTTAGGACTGTGTTAATAATAATGAATATCTTTCCTTGGGATAACAGGCTAAAGTGGGAGTCCTGTTACAATTCCCAACTTGAAGGATCCATAAAAATCAATGGTATGGATTTTTAATTCATGCAGGCCCTGCTTCTGTAATATGAAATGGGTGTGTGCCTACAAATTGACTTCTGGTAGACCTAAGTATTAATGCAATGGGCTTTCCATAAGGTGCTTCTACATTGCTGAATAATAATAATAATAATAATAATAATAATAATAATAATAATAATAATTGCAAAAAGGCATTAATTCAACAGTGATATACCTCTTAAAATAATAATAATAATAATAATAATAATAATAATAATAATAATGCTTTTGCATCAGTAAAATAATAGTAATAATAATAATTTATTTATTTTTTAATTTATTTATATCCCCCCTATCTCTCCATAGGAGACTCAAAGCAGCTCACAATAAAAAAATTACACCTTCAACAAATATAGCAGTATATCATTATATATTATTGGGTTGCTGTGAGTTTTCCGGGCTGTTTTGCCTGCATCTATGGCAGGCATACTCAGACCTCACAATGGGATGCCTGCCATAGATCCCGGCAAATTTTAAATATTATATGTATATACAATATATTATATTACCAGCATAGCACAATATTAGTATTATATATTACTATATTGTACTATACCACTATACTGCAATATTATTAGTAATATTCCATGTAATATATAATATACAATCATTATTATTATTATTATTATTATTATTATTATTATTATATTGTATTATTATTATTATTATCCACCTTTCCTTTAGGTTGGAGACAATACAATTTGACACCACTTGAACTATCACAGCTCAATGCTATAGAATCATGGGAACTGTAGTTTTGCCAGGTTTTAAGCCTTCTCAGCTAAAATGTACTTCACCAAACTACAAATCCCACGATTCTATAGCATTGGGCCGTGGCAGTGAAAGTAGTGTTAAAACCGTATGAATTCAAAGATGTGATACTCTATTAGTCAGACATGGGCAAACTTGGGCCCTCCAGGTGTTTTGGACTTCAACTCCCACAATACCGGTAGGCTGTTAGGAATTGTGGGAGTTGAAGTCCAAAACACCTGGAGGGCCCAAGTTTGCCCATGCCTGCTATAGCTGGTCTTGGTCAGTTCCCTACTCTGAAATATTTAATACAGCATCTGGGTTGGTGGTCTCCCATCCAAACACTAACCAGGGCTGACCCTGCTTAGCCTCGAAGCTCAGACAAGATCTGGTAACTTTAGGGCACCGAGGCAAAGCTTGAGGGGTGGGGAAGGGGGGGAATGTTTACTTCTTGTGATCTTTCCCTCGCCCTTTCTCCCGCTTGTAAAGTAGGGTCGTGCTAACAGGCGAGATTTCCACATTGCTTGAGGCTTAGTAATGCAGTAAATACACGTCGATTGAGTGAACTGAAGCGAGTGGGTGGATGATGGGGAGTGGGGGGGGGGGGGGGGGGGGGGGGGGGGGGGGGGGAGAAGATTTATGTCCCTTACACCCGGCGTGTTTATTTTGGCGGCTAAAGAATGGGGGAAGCCAGCAAAAGGCCGGAGGACGACAAAGACTGGGAGGAGAGATGAAGATCGGAGGAGGCCTAAAGTCCAGGGAGAACTTTGGAAGGGAAGGAGACCAAGTTGGGACTTGCTCCCATTCTCCACCCCCAGCAAGTATGGAAAAGGGAGATAGTGCAGAGAAATCCAACCTCTGTGATGTCCCTCCAAATCTTCTCGAGTCTCCTTAACGCTGACCATAAGCCAGGAGAGGAAAAGACCATCCTGATCTCAGCCTTGGCCTGAAACCCCTTTGGAAAGATCAAAGCATGTCTTTTCTCCAGGGGTGATGTTGAATGGGGAAGGAGACATGGACAGGAAAAGACAGCCTTTCTTTTTCTTTCTGCTTGGCCTTATGGAAAGATGTTTTGATCCAAGTTACAACAGAGCTTTCTGCAAGCAATATTTAGCACCGCTATAAAGCTTAGGCTTCTTAGAATTATTTTCTTCTCTCTGGATTCTCCCTAGTTGGAGATAATATTTTATTTTATTTTATTTTTCTACCTATCTAGGCAAACAGGGAAAAAAACATTGCCCTTCCCAAAAATAATTCTCTCTGTGCACCCCCAACTTTATCCAGACCCAAAATATAACATTTTCTGTCCCTTTTATTTGGAGTCCAAAGTGTAATTCTGAAGTTTTCAATTTGAGGACATAAAGAAAATGTTATGAGGGTTAGTTAGATATGGAGGGCTAGAAGGGGGGTATACAAGTATAGTAAATAATATAAATAAATAATAATATTTTTTTCCTACACCTTGGGAGGCCACTCTGTTTTGCTTGTATGTGGGTTGCTAGTTTATAAACTGGTCTCTTATTTTTGGGTAAACATACCTGCTGCTGATGGCAGAATAAAAGTACTCCTGACTTCATTTAGCAAGATGGGGTGTTTGAACCCATATTTAGCCTTTCATCCATTTACCTTGGTTCATCCTACTGAACCTGGCGGGTTTCATTGGGTATGGATGGGCTAAAGCTCTCTGTTTGGATCTATGGCCAGCATATTCAGACTAGAAAGGCCTAGTGTGTCCTATATTCAATATATGTAGAATATACATATATATATATATATATATATTAGAACAGTAAAGACAAATATCACTTAGGCGAAAAAAGGTCTAGTGTGTACTCATACATATGTATGTATGTGCATCTATGTGTGTGTGTGTGTGTGTGTGTGTGTGTGTGTGTACACAGACACACACACTTAGACATACAATAGTGTCCTATATATATATATATATATATATATATATATATATATATATATATATATAGGAATATAGGACACGCTAGACTTTTTAGCTAAGTGATATTTCTCTCTCTCTCTCTCTCTCTCTTTCTCTGTGTGTATTGAATGAATGAATGACAAATACTACTTAAGAGGTTAATATCAGGTAAAAAAAAGCCTAGTGTGTCCCATATCCCTCCTCTCTCTCTATATTGTATATTTTTACTGTCTGTGGTGTGTGTGTATATATGTATATATAGCAGACAAATATCGCTTATGTGAAAAGTCTATCTAGTGTGTCCCTTATCCTCCCCCCTCTTTCTACACTGTATATATTTACTCTCTTTGTGTGTGTACACACACACACTCATACATACACATACACTGTATGTATATATAGTTAAGACAAATACCACCTAGGTAAAAAAAAGTCTAGTGTGTCCTATATTCTCTCCCCCTCTCTATATATACTGTATATATTTACTCTGTATGTATGTATAAGTAGTAAAGACAAATATAACTTATGTGAAAAAGGCTAGTGTGTCCCTTATCCCCCCTCTCTACACTGTATATAATTACTGTTTATGTATGTGTGTGTGTATATATATATACTGTGTCCTATTTCTCTCTCTATAGGAATATAGGACACGCTAGACTTTTTTACCTAAGTGATATTGTCTGTCTACATATACACACACACACACACTGTGTGTGTGTGTGTGTATGTATAGTAAAGACAAATATCACTTAGGCTAAAAAAAGGCCTAGTGTGCCCTATATCTCAGGCTTAGTGTGCCCTTTAAATTATATTTGTCTTTACAATTCTAATTTGTGCTACATTTGTGCTCTCTCTATCTCTCTCCACACACACACACACACACACACACACACACACACACACAGGCCTTTGTTACTAAGTGATATTTGTCTTTACTGTTCTAATGTATTACAAATCCTATGTAAATTCATACAACGTATTTTTAACATTAACACTGAATTCTAAAATATAGAGAGACAGGCTTTGTCTTTCATACACACAGACAATATAGGACATACTAGACCATTCTAGGCTGAATGTACTGGCCATAGGTCCAAACACAGAGCTATAACCCATCTATATGGTACATGGCGGGTTTTATGTCCGAACCGGAATGATGGGGCTTATTTCTAGGTAAAGGGGGATCTGAGACTGCAGCCTTAATCTCTCCCGTGGCAAACAACTGGGTTTAAAACTCAGATTCTATCTTTATTGTCTGTTGGTCATCTGAAGGGCCATTCCGGAGCATTCACTACATCGGAGTAAATATCAACACGTTCAAAAGAAGGACAGGATCCACGTGTCATTTTGAAAACGGGACTTCTTTCCCTTTATTTACCTTTCCCCAAATAAAGGCGCGCCCATTAGCGCTCCGATCCCACTGGGATTTATTTTCTTTTGAGGGACGACCCAAATCGTCCCACCGGTGTTTTAGTGTGTGTGTGTGGATCTTCAATTTACTATAAGCTGCTATTTTTTGGAGGGTGAATCTCTATCATTTCCTATGGAGTCTAGTTTTCGAAGAGGGAAAGCTGCCTTTTGCGATGGATTTTGTGCCCTTTGTGCTTTCAAAAGAGCTCCGATTTACAGCGATTTAGACATAATTGCGGGAGATCTAGACTTCCATTACGATTTGGGAGAGAGAGCGTTATTGTGAAGGCAGAATCTGTGCCTTTCTCTTTCTCTTGTACAAAGATTTCCCATCTTTATGAAGATTTTCCCCCTTTCTCTAGGAAATCGGAAATATTTCTTGGTCTATATTCAGACTTAGTATTTTTCTCTCTCTGTACTGATTTGACTATTGTTGTATACAGAATTGGGGTCCTTCTTGGCTCTCATCTGTTCATCCCAGGCATTCCAGCTCCTCATGCGGGGACATGAGAGAAGCCTCCCACAAGGATGATAAAAAACATCAAATCATCCGGGCGCCCCTGGGCAACGTCCTTGCAGACGGCCAATTCTCTCACACCAGAAGCAACTTGCAATTTCTCAAGTCGCTCCTGACACGACAAAAAAAATAAATCCCAGGCATTAAGTGCTTTTAAGTGTTAGATAGTTAAGGCAGAAAGGAAGGAAGGGGGAATGGAGGCAAGGGGACGGGGCAATCCTTGGGGCCCTACAAGGAGGCCCACAGAGAAATATATAAATATGTGTATATTTGTCTTTAAGTCCATTTATGGCGATCAAGGTCAAAGGAAAAGTAAGGAATCCTCAGAGGTGGTTTTGCCCCTTCCTTCCTCTTAGCTTGCAAGATCAGGTGGGATCTGGTGCCTTTTACTCCTGGGTGTGTCAAAGTCTGAAAGGCACAGACTTGAGGGCACATGTAGGACTTTAGTTGAACCCATATGGTACACACTTTGTGCTTAAGTATATATTTATGTGTATATCACACACACACACCAACCTTCCCTCTTTCTTTTCTTCTTTCTTCCTTCCCTCTTTTTATTTTCCTTCTTCTTTCTTCCTTCTCTCTTCCTTTGCTCTTTGGTTCCATCCTTCCTTGTCTCCTTCCTTCCTTCTTTCCCTCTTTCTTTCTCTCCTTTCTTCCTTCTCTACCTTTCTTTCTTTCCTTCTCTCCTTCCCTCCTCTTTTCCCTCTTTTTCTCCATCCTTCTCTCCTTCCTTCCTTCCTTCCCTCCCCCTTTCTGTGTATGGGTGTTGTGTGTGCATATATGTGTGCATGTATTTCTGTATATATTTGTGTATATGTGTATATATGTGGTTTTGCACATGTGTTGTAATGTATTTTTTGGTTTTTTTGGCTTTCTATATATCTTCTGTATTTTTAGTGTTTTTATGACATTACATATTTATATTTATATAATTGTGATATACACACAAACATATATATTTATGTGTATATCACAATTATATATTTCTGTGTATGATATACACAAATATTTTGAATTGTTCTATACACACAATATGTAGTCCCTTCCACTGTGTTTCTCGGTGTTTTCATCAGTGATGGTTCCTTATTGGCCTGATAGGTGTCTTGTGTCCAAATTTGGTGTCAATTCATCCAGTGGTTTTTGAGTTATGTTAATCCCACAAATGAGCATTACATTTTTATTTATATAGATGTCAATTATATGTGTGTACGATATACACAAATACATTGAATTGTTCTATACACACAATAGGTATAATTGTGATATACACATAAATAATGTGTATATGTCAATTATATATGTGTGTGTATGAAATACACAAATATATTGAATTGTTCTATACACACAATATGTATAATTGTGATGGACAAATAAATATATGTGTATATGTCAATTTTATATATATGTGTGTGTGTATGATATACACAAATATATTGAATTGTTCTATACATAGAATATGTATAATTGTGATGTACAGATAAATATATGTGTATATGTGTATATGTGTGTGTGTGTATGATATACACAATATATATTGAATTGTTCTATACACACAATATGTATAATTGTGATATACACATAAATATATATGTATATGTCAATTATATATGTGTGTGTATGATATACACAATATATATTGAATTGTTCTATACACTGATGTTCCTCTGGCCTCTCCTCCTTCCAGGTCAAGGTCTGGTTCCAGAACCGGCGCATGAAGTGGCGCCACTCGAAGGAGGCGCAGGCGCAGAAGGACAAGGAGAAGGAGCCCTCGGAGAAGGAGCCGGCAGGGGGCGCTGCGCCCAACGCGGAGCCCACGGAGCGCAGCCCCAGCCGCTCCGAGGAGGCCGAGGAGGAGAGCGAGAGCAGCGAGGCCGAGTCCTTCGAGCTGGAGCCCGGCAGCGACGAGGCGGAGCCGCGGACGGAAAATAGCAGCGGCGCCACCGCGGAGCAGGCCCTGCAGCAGCAACATTCGCGGCACAGCCACGACTCCTCGGACCCTCGCCCCGAAGCTCCCCCAGGCCTGGACCAATGCAGGGAGCCCTTGCGGTGCCCCGAGCAGCCTCCTTTCGGCCTGCGGGACTCTCCTTGACCTCCTTCCTGGCTTGCCCAGCCTGGAGAGACCGCTCCCTCTTGAGAACTGTAACCCCGAAACTGGAGTGAGATGGGGGAGAAGAGGATTAGCAGACCCTCTTTTCAGGAAGGGGGGAGCCCTCAGAGGCGACTGACTCTCTCTCAACTGCTGGCTAGGACTCACCTTTGGACCGTGGAGGGATCTGAGGTAGCTTCTCTAGTTAAGGAGGATGCGGAGGATAAGCCCCGCCAAAGGGAGAACCAGGTCGGGCAGGAACTACGCAGCCACCCACTTGGGAAGGTCTCTTCTCTTCCACACGTGGCTGCGGAAGGACTAGGCTTCCCATGCGCCTTCTAACCCTTAAAGGCCCCCCTGGCACCATTCGTCATGGGAAGCGTGTCCCTTCCCTCTTACCCACGCGTTGCTTTGTACAATCTGGCCAAGAGAAAAGGGAGAACAAGAAAGGTGCGGACTGTAAATAAATGGGTTGTTGAATTCGTGGCGCCTGTTTTTGCGACTAGAAACAATAAGGTTGGTTCACCTAAGGGGGAAAGGCCATGGGCGAGGAGGGAAATGGCCCGGAAGGGTCGCAGGAGGCTGCACTTGGCTCATCCTCAAGCGAATAGAAAGGGCACATGGGTCAGTTTAGATCAGGCATGGGCAAACTTGGGTCCTCCAGGTGTTTTGGACTTCAACTTACACAATTCCCAACAGCCTAGTTTGCCCGTGCCTGGTTTGGACCTATAATGCAGTTTGAACTGATATGGGTCACACTGACTATATAATGCAGCTTTAATGTGAATTGAAGGCATTTCGGAGAGGAGCTGTTATCACGGACCAATGCTAATCCAAATGTCTGAGGTTCGAATCCGGGGTGCAGGGTGAGCTCCCATCTGTCAGCTCCAGCTTCTCATGAGGGGGCATGAGAGAAGCCTCCCACAGGATAGTAAAACATCCAGGCGTCCCCTGGGTAACGTCCTTGCAGACGGCTAATTCTCTCACACCAGAAGTGACTTGCAGTTTCTCAAGTAGCTCCTGACATACACACAGAATTAGTTGGGCCCCATCTGGCATGGTTTTCATGTGCAGTGGAGGAATTGTCCTCTGTCTTTAGTGTCTCCAGCAACACCCACATGCAACTGCATTTAAATAGAATGAATAGTCATCCGATTAATTCCCTTTGAAACAGCTCAGTCTGCTGCTTCCTTCGGTCTGGAAGTGGCTTCAAACCCAAGCATGCTGCCCTACAAAGATGGCGAGTAATACAGGACACTTACCACTACCCATGGTCTCTGAGCAACTGGACCCAATCCCATATTTGTTGATTTGAACGGAAGTTTATGTTACTTAGATCTGATCGGAATAAGCAACCTGAGTGTACCAACTTCCCTGGGACAGGGAATGAATCCCATTGGCTGCTGTGGGAGTGACTTCCGAATGTAAAGAAACTGGCGGTCAGTTCTGTTGACTGCACTAGAAATAACAATATTTCACAGATTTGGAAAGGATATTGTGGATCTTCTAATTCTAACCTCTGAAATATCCCACTGGAAACTTCCTGAGAGCTCACCATTCAACTATGGTTTTAAAGACCGCCAAAGGGGCCTTGAAAACCATAGTTGGAGGCCCACCACCCTTCCGAGGTAATCTAGTCCACCCACACTTTTAAATATATGTCTTCTGGGACTCAATAAGACACACATAGATCCATATTTTAAAGACCACAACACAACGGGGGGAAGCATGAATGATAAAAAATAGTGGGATGGATGGAAAGGAGTCCATCCCCACAAGTATTCAGTCGTCAGTATAAACAAACTGGATTGTAATCCAAGGATGGTCATTATAACTGGGAGTTCATGTTGAGACTGCAACTAAGTGAAGCCCCTACAACTCTCCTGCCTCAAACAAAACTACAAGGCAGAAATATTGATGTTTTGTCATGGACGGTTTTCCAGGCTGTATGGCCTTGTTCCAGAAGCATTCTCTCCTGACGTTTCACCTGCATCTATGGCAGGCATCCTCAGAGGTTGTGAGGTCTGTTGGAAACTAGGAAACTTGGGTTTATATATCTGTGAAATGTCCAGGGTGGACGATATATAAATCCAATTTCCCGAGTTTCCAACAGACCTCACAACCTCTGAGGATGCCTGCCATAGATGCAGGCGAAACGTCAGGAGGGGATGCTTCTGCAACATGGCCATACAGCCCAGAAAACTCAGAACAACCTAGGCAAGTGGTTAATATATCTGTGGAATATCCAGGGTGGGAGAAAGAACGCTTGTCTGCTTGAGGCAAGTGTGAATGTTGCACCTCATCATCCACAATTGACCCACAACTGATCAATTGCAGCATTCACACTTGCCTCCAGCAGACAAGAGTTCTTTCTCCCACCCTGGACATTCTACAGATATATAAACCACTTGCCTAGTTTCCAACAGACCCTTCAACCTCTGAGGATGCCTGCCATAGATGTGGGTGAACCGTCAGAAGAGAGTGCTTCTGGAACATACAGCCCGGAAAACTCACAGTGACCCAAAAAGATTGGCTTCAGAGAAAATAGGTTCAGGATAGGAAACCCGGATGTGGACTTTCTCTTTCACAAATCCAACACGGGGGAAGCAATTTATCTGTGAGCATCTATGGAGATCTATCAGTCTTTAAACACAAGCAGCCATATAAACAAGGATCAAACTGAAACTATTCCTTGCTTTGAAATCTTGGGGAAAGGTCTGCTGTGTTTCCAGGCTCCTCAGTGGCATGAGTGGTGTTTCTAATTGGTCATGGATATGACCTGCTTGGACTTGCTTTTCAAATCAATCATTTTTGTAGCCCCGACAGATGTGGCACCTTAAAGACCAACCGGTGTATTTATTATATATGTATTTGTAAAAGGCTGAGTTGACGTCACGGGATAAAACGAACACCAAGTTCACATATGGGCTACAGCCTTATCCTAATAAAGGCATTGCCCATCTTGTGGATTTTGGACTTGGGTTTATTATAGTTTGAGGCTTTCCTGGACGATAGCCCTCTTCCTCAGATGGAGTGAAGTGTTATCCAGGATTTCAGGTATAGGTGTCAAAAGGCACACATGGCTGTGGCTAGAACTGGAGACGTGAGGGGGAAATGAAAGGCAGAAAGTACTGGCAGAAGGAATAGACTTATTGACCCTGGCCAGTCACAAAAGTGCTGCTGATACAGAGACCAGTTTCATACTACACAATTAGAGCACTAGATCCTGTTCTAACTCTATTGCATTATTATTATTATTATTATTATTATTATTATTATTATTATTATATTTAATAATAATAATAATAATAATAATGAATTCTGGAATTTGCAGTTGAAGGAGAGGTGTATAGAATTGGCAGTCTAAGGACGCTGATATAGAATTATCAGCCAGGGAACTCTGGTGCCTCTCCAAACTATAAATCCCAGGACTCCATTGGATGGAGCTGTGATGCTCCTGGATTCGTCATTAAATTAGATTTTGAAAAAGGCTTCCTGGTGGATTTGGCAAGGCTCCTACCATAATAGCTAGGGGAGAAGCTTGGTAAACAAAAGGATGAGGAATGTTGAAGCTCCAGATATTTTTGAACTCCACCTCTCATAATACTTGATGGATGGCTAGAGAGATGCAGGTCAACTGTATGGTCCCCATGTCTAGGTTACTGTGGGCAAATCTACAAATGTAAGGGTGTCAGAAGGAACAAAGGCATGAGGATCAAGAATTCTGAGTATTCTATGGACCTCAATTGGCTCTCTTCTTTTAGAATCTCATAGTTTTCTAAATACTTTGGTCCTCAGCATTCCTTTGGTACTCCAGTTATACTACCTGAGGATGGTGGAAACACAAACCTTAACTGAACTATAATAATATAATAAATAATATCTATCTATCTATCTATCTATCTATCTATCTATCTATCTATATAATTTTATTATAATAGTACAATATAATAATGTAATATATTAATAATATAATATAATAATTTAATAGATTAATATAATAATTATATTTTATGTATAGACTGCCCCCTCTCCCCAAGGGGACTCAGAGGGGTTAAATATGTTTCAGCCTCCATACACAATTATAGAAATATAGTGTTCGAATCCTTAGAATGATCCACTCTACTGAGATAGGACAACAGGGCTTACATTCAATGGCTAGATCCATTAAATCAAGAGGATTCACACAGGTGTAGACTAGATAAATACCAATTGGCAGTTTAGTTACTGTGTGAACTTCAGTTGGTTCTATGGTTTGGGTTTAGCTTATTATTCCCATATTTCAGAAACTGGATTTACAAGCAGTTTCCCCTATTAGACAAAATGATCATGCTGAGCCAGATCAAAGATACAGAAAGTCCAAGAGGACCACTTTTCTGGCTCTAACGCTGGCTCAAGGAAACTCCGAGTGGAGTATCTGCTCCATTCTTAGGGCCCTTCCAGACAGGCCCTATATTCCAGGATCTGATTCCAGGTGTTCTGTTTATCCCAGATTATCTGGTAGTGGGGGCTCATATAATCCGGTTTAATGTAGAAAACCTGGGATCAGATCCTGGGATATAGGGTCTGGCTACCTATTTGGTGGTACCAGATGTATTCCGTATCTGAGCAGGGAATTCAGTTCTGAAAGTGATGAGAAAGTGATGTCTTCTCATATAAATTCAAGTAGGAAGTCTGATAATCACAGCTGAAATCCATCTATCTGATAATCTGTGGTCGGGCAAATGTTGTCTTCCAGATGTTGCTACAAACAGCAGCTGGAACCGACCAGCCATCAGCTGAGTGATGGAAGTTGTAGTCCAAGTGGCCTGCAGGGACTCCACTTCTCAAGCCCTACAATCGGAATTGTTTCCCCCTGATAGCAAAGGGGCGTGCGTGTGCGTGTGCGTGTGCGTGCGTGGGGGGTGGGGGGTTACAACCTTCATAAAGTTTTAATATAAAACAATTAAAGCCGGATTGCTGATTGAAAAGTGATGGTTCCAGTCCGGGGAACGGAGTGAGCTCCCTTCTTTCAGCTCCAGCTCCCCATGCGGGGACAAGAGAGAAGCCTCCCACAGGATGGTAAAACACCGGGAAGTTCCCTGGGCAGCTTCTCTGCAGACAGCCAGTTCTGTCACACCAGAAGCAACTTGCAGTTTCTCAAGTCGCACCTGACACGGAAAAAACCAAACTTCACTGTATTTTATAGGAGCTGAAGAGTGCTTTATAGGATATATATAGAACACCAAAGAGTCAAACTATAGCATGCAGCCAAGAAAATAGTATAATAACAACAGCGGAGTGAAGCAGAGATCAAACTAGAGAAGCAGAGGACAAAGTTATAAGCAAGGAAATATTTCAGAATCCCGTCTCTTTCAGGAATTTTCAGAAGAATGATAGTGACAACAAACAATGATAACAACTACAATGATGATATTGGGAGGAGGAAGGATGGAGAAGCCAAACGCATTCCTAGTTCAATTTTCCTTCCCGCTCATTCA